AAAAAAAAAAAAAAAAAAACACCACACAACCAAAACCCACAAACAACAAACCACAAAACACCCCCAGAACCCCCTAATTCAGATGTTGAAACCTTACTGTCACTGGGTTTGTTTTTTCTAGTGCCTTTACTCACATAAAGCACTCTTCAGCACTGCTTACATTACACTCAAACTCTGCCATCTGGTAAGAACGCAATTAAAACAACAAACTTCCCATTAAACAAAGTGACTGAATACAAAGAGTGCATCATAAAATTGTCATGATTTCTTTAGATTAATAGGTGATGCCATAGTACCTCGTGTTTTAAGAATTCCGATGCTGCTCAGTCACGCTGTGAATTAACGTACACTGTCACGCAGTAAAAACATACAGCAATGGTTTGACATTTTCCCTTGCTCAGATTCATGAAACAGTACCTGGCCACAGCTGGAGTAAATAGTGAAGAACCTCTATGTGTTTTTTGAAGTCCAGGGCACTAGCAAGCTCTTCCGAGTCTGTGAAGACTCTGTTGTTGTGGTTGGTGGTCTCCTGCCTCTGGCTCAGTAACACGGGCCCAAAACATACAGCTAAATTCTGGCACGTCATCTTATTTACTTCGTGGTAAGAAGCCACCAGTTTCAGGTGATCCAACAGCATCTTCAGGGTAGCCTAAAAGAACAAAATATTGCTCGGGAAACACAACACTAGACGAAGGTGGTGTTGACACCCTAATGTCGCTGCTCTAGAGGGATAAGATCAAGGCTGATAGCTATGGTTTTCTACCAGCACCCATCAATGGAACATCTAAGTGGTGAACTAGAAAAGCCGTATTAGACTATCACAGAGCAGACTAGTTAAGACAGACTTTCTGGTAAAATTCAGCTCGTTTCTTACCTGATCTCAGTTTTACATGGATGAGCTTTCTCACAGTGGAAAGGGGACATCAGGGAGGGGAGAGAAGCTGCAGAAGCAGTACAGATGATCCAGGTACATTAGAAAATAAAGAAACCCTCAGTATGACCTCAGCATCGGAAGAAGCTTCCAGGTAACTTTCAGGTACCGTGCAGGCTACTCGCTCGCTCTCTCCCACGGGCTAACTGTGGTTTTCCACAGAGGTGAATTTGGCAGGTAATGGCGCACAGCACTATTACGCTGCACAGCATGGGAAGCTAAGGCTTTAGTGCATACGCTTAGGAAAGAGGAAAGCATTTGCCCATTAATTGCGACATACAGATCAGAGAGCTCCACAGAAACGGAGCAGGACACCACACAGGAATAATCTCCCATCTAACGATGTAAAAGTAATGATCGCAGCTTTTCATTCAGTTTTATGGAGACAATATAAGATGCAAACTAGAATAAACCCAGCAATGCAGACCCTCCGATTAATCACAGCATGGAAGTATTTTCAGAGATGCAGAGCATCAAAAATCCAAGTGAACCATTAAGCCAGGAAACAAGTGTACACATTTTGACACATTTTATATCCAGTGTGAAAATGTTCCTTTATTTTCTGAAGCATGCAATTTACTTGAACCTGCTAACACCGCTCACCTTCTCAACATCTGGCAGGCAATCCAGAAGGGCTGCGGTGTGCTCAGAGTCACTCGGGTCATTTTCACAACCACTTGCTGTCATTTTCAAAGGATTTTTCACCATGGCATCCAACACTGCTTCATAGAGCTGCTTGGTTATCAGAGGAGAGGGTAGCTCTCGCAGGTAATCCTTTAGGACGCCTTCACAAGAGACACAAGAACAGTTGCCTTTAACAAGCTGCAGATTCACTTTCTTGCATTTTTGGGAGTCAGGGGCACCAGCACCCCTGTCCTCACAGTTCTGACAGCTTCTCCAAGCCCACGCAAGGTGGCTCGTGGCCAACTAAGGACTCAAACCAGGGGAGGAAGGTGCACCTCATCTAGAGAAGAGGGGTGCACACAGGTACCCCAGGAGCAGTTCTGCCTGGGGTCCCCTCCTGATGGGGGTGAGGGAGAAACAAGGAAAGGGTTCTTAGCAGTCCACCTCCTGCCCAAGGAAAGGAGCTACTGCGAACACCAAAGTTCTCACAGCCTGGTGACACCTCCTCCTTTATATACAACTGGCAATTAATTTTTCTGTTCAGTGCTGTATTGGGTTTGTGTGGCAAGGTTTTGCTGGAGGGGGGGCTACAGGGGTGGCTTCTGTGAGAAGCTGCTAGAAGCT